AACTGTTAGAGCTGGCTGGGGGAGGGAGCGTGGAGAGAGAAAGTATTAGAAAAGAAGAAAAATCAAAAAAGAAAAATGATGTTACATTCCATCTATTATCCATGATAGAAAGGTAGTATTCAGTTCAGTTGTTTGATATGCGGTTAAACAGTGAACTTCCATTTGATTAGGGAGGGGAAGACTGGGATAAACATAAATCAAGAATATGCAAAAATCAACATGGACAACCTGAAGCTCCTGATCAACAACAATAGGAGGAAGAAGACCACGCAAATAGTGGGAATCCCTTTCTTTCTCCCTAGAAGCAAGCCCTTTGTTGTAGTTTGGATCACGCAAATATGAGCGTCCGCTGCTCAAACAACAGAATCATATTCATAATGGACATAAACTGTACATCTGCTTAACACTAAAAAAATAATGAAGTTGATCAACAGATTCCATAAAATGACATCATTTTCAAGTGAGTTCAAATAAATAAAAAAATTGAATTTTTTTAACAAAAAGGATACTTTTGAATTCACGCAGCCAATTATAGAAATCACCCAAATTTGTGGCGTCCATCATGGTGTTCAACATGGATATGCTCCTGAATACAATATAAAAAGCATTGAGTATCAGTCAACAGAGCATTACATAGTACCTGAATTGAGGCTTTTTCAGTTGAATGAGGCTTACCCTTTAGCTGTACTTTCAAAGTCTGCCTGAATCAGGTCATTATGTGTAGTTTCAGCTCGAAAATAAACATCAGGGATTATTTATTTTCGCGGTGCACATTTTGAGTCATTAGAGTATGCTCTTATTGTTATGGTCGAAAGAAGAGGAATTGGTCTCTGAATGGAGAAATTATACGTTATATTAGAATTCCATTGGTAGCACAACCATTGTAGAAGTAGCAGCAATGTATCAATAAAAGGGTAGAAAAATACTCCTTCTGTTTCAATTTAGATGCAGTGTTATCAAAGGCGAAAAGTGCAAAAAAACTCTAAGGCCTATTGGGGCTTTAAGCGCAAAGCGCAAATAAATCATGGGCTTTAATGAAGAAAGGCACAAATGGAAAACAACTACAGAATGTATGTGTAATCCAAGACTAATATCTATAAGAATGAATGCTAAATATATGGACAAGGAAATTGAAGAAAATTTACGATAAAATGAAATATCAATTGTTTAGTGCCGCCCTTTTAGGATTACGCTCATTGGCAAGGAAAAGTATACCTTAGAGCATTGATGACAATATTAAAGCGCCTGCGAAGCGAGGCGAAGCGCTCAACATGTTTTGAGCCTCGCTTCAGGGCTTAAGCGCGCCTTTGATAATATTGTTTAGATGACACACTTTCCTTATTAGTTCGTTCCAAAAAGAATGACACATTTCTACAATTGAAAATAATTCAACTTTAAATTCTTCATTTTACCCATTTTACCCTTAATGACAAGCTTTTATAACCATACAAATGTCATGGCCCCACAAAACTTTTACCTCTTAAGCTTTTAAGATCACAAATTTCAAAAGACTTCTTTTTTCTCTTAAATTCCGTGCCGATTCAAACTACCTCATCTAAATTGAAACGGAGGGAGTATGATAATTAGCTAAACTTGTAATTAAAAATAGATTATCGGTTTCTCATTCAAAGATCCAATTCTCCTTCTTTCGGCGATCGAGTCTTCAAGAGTCCGCATATTAAAAGAATTCTGCCAAAAAAGGTATATGATTAGTCACGAAGATGAACATCTCCCGAATAGTTTCCCGCATTGTCCAACAGAATGGAAGATGTCATGTTTTGTCGAAGCTCAGATGACCGGGAAAACGACTTTATTTTTATCTTTCACCCACATATTCAAGAGTTGATGTCGGCGCAGAGTGGATTTTAAAGAAAATTCAGCAAGAAAAGGATTAACTATTGGTTCCTATTGTGAAAAAGACAGTGAGTGTAGGCCATAGGAAATGCAGCTGGTAAAGCAGATGTTATTCACTTAAACAAATTGAACGAAGTGCATATCTCACAATCAGCTCAACAATATTTTCCAATAAAGACATAACTGAATACAAAAATAATCATGCTGACAAAAGGTTAAATAAAAGAATTCTGGGCTAGTATAATACCTCCAAATAGTTTTAGCAAAATAACATGCGCAGCAGATGTCATTCACTGAGTCGGTAGCATATCTATAGCAGCAGACACATCTTGATACCAGCTGGTGTGCAAAATTGGAAACTCTATGATCATTGTTCCTTAAAGTTCTCCATAGTGTGCCACTGGAATGTATACTCCAAATGAGTAAGGGAAGAAGCTCCCAATCATCAACGGTCTGCCAAAACAGGAAGGAGGAATGCATCAATGACATGAATGGTTCTAGACAAATCATCAGCCAAGGCGTAAGGCTCTTTAAGATCTTGATTTGTACTCCATGCGTATGTGTTCTATGCAATCGTGAGTGCGCGTCTATATTTTAACATTTACCAAAACCACCATGCATGGCGAATCGACCCGTGGCCACCCATAACTCTCACCTCCATCAACAAGACAACAACTATGATAAAAATTAATTTAGGCTGCACGTTATGTAACATTCATATTTTTTATAATCTCCTTCATAATATTCCAGACTTTGCCACTGGTAAAAAGATGCAATCTAGTACAACACAACTTAAATATGGGTGCTTTGCATTGCCTACCGGACATTATACCAGTTGATCAAGAGATTTAATTTCTACCACCAACAAACAAATTGTTAGATAGTTATGTAAATAACGTGAATTAGTCATAGTCCCACATAGAATAGAAGTAGGATATGTATTGTATAAATAGGGCTCATTGTATTATAATTGAAGAGAATATCAATAATAGATTTTTCTCCCGTACATTCTCACATGGTATAGATTTTAACATACAACTTTTAGTCAAGAATTTGAGAAATTGGTGTAGCAAAATGAAATCCAATACTATGAATAGATGGATGGTTTCTTTACCGGATTATATTGAGTTCCTTCAGAACAAAGCATGTAAACATACATCTTCAAAGATAGCTTCCGTTGTTCAAACAGGTAATAGCATGACTTGTGTCTCTCAATCTTCATCCTCCGAGTCTTGGGTCATTGATTCAGGTGCATCTGATCACATTCTGATAACAAATTTCTTTTCACTACTATTCCATAATCTCAATCTCTTCCAACAGTCACATTGGCCAACGGGTCTCAAACCATGGCAACTGGAATAGGTCAAGCAACTTCATTTCCTTCATTACCATTAGATTCAGTTCTTTATGTTTCCGATAATTCTTTTGATCTCATAGTCGTTAGTCGCTTAGCCAAATCACTTAAATGCTATGTTTTATTTCTTGATGATCTTGTTTTTATACAGGAACGTGGTACAAGGCGGATCAATAGTATCGGGCGTGAATCAAATGGACTTTATTACCTTATCCTTGCTAAATCACATGAACTCACATCTTGTCTTTCTTCAACAACTTGTCATGTTACCAATTCCCCAGATTTATAATATAAACGGTTGGAACATCCCAATTTGCCAAAGCTTCAGAAAATGATACCTGGATTATCTCACTTGTCCACTCTTGAGTATGAGTCATGTCAGCTCGGTAAGCATGCTCGCTCCCATTTCCCTCGACGTCCTGATAATCGAGCAGAGTCACCTTTCACTTTAGTCCATTCAGATGTTTGGGGTCCTAGTCGGGTCAGTTCTACCTTGGGATTCCGTTACTTTATCAGTTTCATTGATGATTATTCCCGTGCACTTGGATATTTTTGATGAAATATTTTTCCGACCTTCTACGCTGAAATTCAAAATCAATTTGGGTTTCTATCCGCACATTTCGTAGTGAAAATGCCCTAGAGTATTTGTCTTCCCCATTTCAGCAGTTTATGAATTCTCATGGAATCATTCATCAAACATCTTGTCCGCACACATCTCAACAAAATGGGATAGCTAAAAGAAAGAATAGACATCTCATTGAAACTGCTCGTACCCTACTCATACAATCTCATCTTCCGTTGCATTTTTGGGGGATGCAGTTCTCACATCTTGCTATCTTATTAATCGTGTGCCATCCTTAGCTATCCAGAATCAAGTTCCATTCTTTGTCTTGTTTCCCCACTCACATTTATTATCTCTTCCACCCCGTATCTTTGGGAGCACGTGTTTTGTTCATAACCTTACTCCAGGAAAAGATAAGTTAGTTACTCGTGCTCTTAAGTGTGTATTTCTAGGTTACTCGAGAACGTAAAAGGGATATCGATGTTATTCACCTGACCTCCAGTGGTACCTTATGTCCGTTGATGTTACCTTCTTTGAAACACAGTCATACTTCATAAGTCCAAGTTATTACTTAGATATTTCTGAGGTGCTACCAGTTCCATCTTTTGGAGGTTAAGTCACTACTTCTCATTCATCTTCCTCAACAACTCCAGCTCTACCACCTACAGCTCCAGTCCCAGCTCCACCACCTACAGCTCTAGTTCCAGCTCCACCACCTACAGCTCCAGTTTAAGCTCCACCACTCCTGACTTATCATCATCGGTTGCGCCCAGCATCAGGCCCAACTGATTTACGTCCTGCACCTGACCATGCTCTTACTGCGGACTTGTCTCCTCTTAGTCAACAGATTGCACTTCGAAAAGGTATACGGTCCACACTTAATCCTAATCCCCACTATGTCGTTATCATCGTCTGTCATCGCCCCATTATGCGTTTGTATCATCTTTGTCCTTTGTTTTCATCCCTAAGTCTACAGGTGAAGCACTGTCTCATCCAGGATGGCAACGGGCTATGATTGACGAGATGTCTGCTTTACATACGAGTGGTACTTGGGAGCTTGTTCCTCTTCCTTCAGGTAAATCTACTGTTTGTTAGATCCAAATTTCAATGATGAAAAATAACACATCTTTATTTGTAGGTCCATTGCAGAAGCAAAGGAGAACGAGAGCAAGACTATCAACGATATACGAAGGAAGACGAGAAAGGAAGGAGTAAAAGAGAAAAAGGAAAAGATATGCGAAGATCTGACAACCTAGATGATGGAAGATAAGAAAGGAAGTTCCAGGAGTAGAGAAGTTTGAGACTGCTGAGATTCCGCCCATTGAAGCACTGAAGATACGCGTCTCAAAGAAAGTTGTCATTCTCCGAAATCAAAGGATTAATCATGGGACGTTTGCTTAAGGGGATTCGCTTGCAGATGGAAAGTACACCGATCAAGACCCAAAACCAGGAAGTTCCACACTTACTCTTGGAATGAACCAAATCTGATTCACTCCAAGGATCAATTCCTTGGGACTGCAAATCTCTCAAGATCTGCCACAATCAATCAAAGCACATTTCAAAGTGTATATATTGCAAATCAGCAAAGAGGAAAACAAACCAGAAACTCTTTCAAACCCAAGGATATTGTATCCACAACAAAGCCCTTATAGCTGCTACAAATGGACCTATTTGGACCAACTAGAACCGCTAGCATTGAAGGTAAACGATATGCATTTGTTATTGTTGATGACTACTCACGTTTTATATGGATAATATTCGTATCTCACAAAGATGAGGCCTTGAAAAACTTTGAGATCTTATGCAAAAGAATTCAGAGAGAAAAGGAGCATCTCATTTCAACCATATAAAGCGACCATGGAGGTGAATTTGAAAGCACATCATTTGAAGAATTCGGCAATGATCAAGGATATACTCATAATTTCTCAGTCCCAAGATCACCTCAACAAAATGGAGTGGTTGAGCGCAAGATTAGAACTTTGCAAGATATGGCCAGAACAATGATATTAGAACACTCTCTGCCAAATCACTTTTGGGCAGAAGCAGTCAGCACAACATGCCATATCCTCAGCAGATGTCTCATACGGCCAATTCTAAAGAAGACTCCATATGAACTGTGGAAAGGTAAAAGGCCAAACATAGGCTACTTTCATCCTTTCGGAAGTAAATGCTTCATTCACAACAATGGTAAGGACAATCTTGGTATGTTCGACCCAAGAAGTGATGAAAGTATATTTCTTGGATATTTCTTGGATGAAGGTATATTTCTTGGATATTCAATTAACAGTAGATCATTTAGAGTTTACAACAAACGTACATTATGTTAGAGGAGTCAGTTCATGTTATCTTTGAAGATAATAACTCTATGGCCGAGAAAGGAATTATTGCAGGTGATGAAGATATATATCAGGACATATCGAAGACAAATGAATCTCAGGAACAACAGAAATCCACTGACAACAGCAATGAACTTACCGAGTCGACTAATGAATCTATCAGTAACCAGGTTGAACCTAAGAAATAGTCGACTACTCAGCCTGCTGAAACAAGACCAAATGAACGGAGAAGTGAACCTGAATACCACAAAAGTTCATCATAGGAAATCCAAACGATGGAATGAAAACCAGAGGAGCTCTCAAGAAAAAGGCCAACATCGCACTTATCTCACAAAATCGAACCAACGAAGGTTGACGAAGCCTTAAAGGACTCTAGCTGGGTACAAGCCATGCAAGATATAGTTTAAAGAAGTAGCATACTGGCTAACCGTTGCAGCAGGTATTAGTCATCATGTCATGTTGGCACGGATATAGTTTAAAGAAGTAGCATACTGGCTAACCGTTGACAAACCGTTGCAGCAGGTATTAGTCATCATGTCAATCAGGCTGGCCTGTATGTACAATTTTTTTTTTTTTTTGCGAAGTAACTAATTTTATAAATTAATTACAAAAACCCTTAGCATAAAGATTATGCTAAGGTTATAAGATAGTTACAAGACCCCCAAAAAAAGAGCAACAAAAAACTCAGTTTGTACAAGTTAATTGTGGAATAGAGAAGTCAAAATTAACATTTGCATTAACATGTAATAAACGGGAAACAGAATAGCATTGTACAATTCTGGAATGAATATGAATATTACGTGTTAGTACTCACAGCAGGATGAAGATTTGAAACTGCTGTGCCTGATGACGTGATGATTACTGCTGGTTTATGAGAACTTCTGGCATAACCAACAGCATGAAATGCAAGTGAGCGCTCATCAATGCATGCAATACAACTTGTTGCAGGATGAGTAGAAGCAGCAATAGCAAGAGGAGATGACCGTGAGCCTGGAGCTACACAAAAATACTAGATGTGGAAGAATCAGATACTTGTATTTCAATTAAACCATATTTATAAAGTTGAAAATAGTCTCACCGTCAGACCAAGTCGAGTGCATTCTTCAATTAGTAGTGACGCCCACAAGATATTTATGTTTGCGCACTCTTGCAAGTGGCAACTAAATTGTGTGTTGTCATTCTGTTGATGCTGAAAATAAGTAATGATTCAAAGTAATATCTTCAAAGTTTTCAATTGAACATGATTAAAAACAAAAGATAATACATTTTTTCATTTTTCTAGAGAAGGAAATCCTTACTTAGTTTCACTTACATAGTTGCTCTGGTGGTGAGCACCCTCCACTTCCAACCAAGAGGTTGTGAGTTCGAGTCACCCCAAGAGCAAGGTGGGGAGTTCTTGGAGGGAGGGAGCCGAGGGTCTATCGGAAACAGCCTCTCTACCCTAGGGTAAGGGTAAGGTGAACTACCCTCCCCAGACCCCACTAGTGAGATTATACTGGGTTGTTGTTGTTGTTGTAATGGATATAACGAATTTTATATATATATACACACCAAATAGCTTAGACCAAATACTCTCGATTCCACTGCAAAACTTTGCCTCATTCACCTCGAACAGTGGACTTCTAAAAAGAACATAGGGGAAACTATAACATACTTTCATACATTTCATTTTAACCAGGGAATGTAGATGCTAAATCATGCTAACTAAGAGGAAAACAAAGCAAACTGCCTTTTTTGGCAAGTTAGAATAATGATAATTGGCTCGACAACTCAAAGCTAGCTGTCTTTTGGTACTTTTTCATTGTAAACCTGTTCCAAGGTTACCTTATCCGAGATATACTGGCACATGAACACTAATTCACCGAATTAGCTAAAAAGTAAAGGCAATATCACAGGTATCATGGACATTTATCTTCCAGAATCTTCATCCTTGAATTTTATGTTTAGCCATCTTCTCTGAAATTATAGTACTATGAAACTATTTATCATTATATGAATAAACAATACTTGACTAACCAGACAACAGAAGAAAGTTGTATTCTCCAAACATCTCGGCCATCTGTCTAAAGAGACTCATCATTCCAAATCATTTCGAAGTTACTAAAAGTATCTGCACATGAAACTCATGTCAACAACATCTTTAGCACAGAATAGAATCGGAGCATGCTGTGCAACTTTGTATTCATATAAAAGGCTCTAACTCGCAAGATTCATAGATTAGCATACCATGTTGTTGGAAATGGCTAAAGTAGGTGACATTCTGGCGAAGAACTGACTGAAACAGTAAGAAGCATCTTTCTGCATGCAGCAAAGGCAATTAGAGAAAATAAGTTAATAAATGAATAAAGCATATCTCATCAGTGAAAAGAACATTATTGTTTGTTCTCTTCTTTTGTTCATTTCGAATAAATATGGGGAAGAAAGATCATTTTGCATGCAGAATAATTAGTGACACTTCAACCACGAGATCATGAAAAGCATCCAAGAAAGAGTAATTACCAGGATAAAGGGGATACCAGTTCCAAAGTGCACGGCCCGACGTATTTCTCGAACAGTTTCTGAAGATTCGCATATACCTATAAAAGGAATTTCTCAGTGGTGTTTCAAAGCAAAAACATGAGTGGAAGTGTTGACACTCATTATCAACAGGGTCAAGTCCTACAATAACCATCAATCCGTAGAATCTCTTGTTATCAAATTAAAGTTTACAAGTACAAGACTTTATCTAGAAGATGGAAAACAGTGTTTCATCGGAAAGCTGTAAAACAGTGTTCAGGCTTGCTCTTTGTCAAGGAAGAGTAGACAATAATTTCTAGAAGATGGAGAAACAAGGAAGAGTTTTCCAATTTGAAACTTGTTGGTGTGCTTGGGCTGAAATTTGGAAGAAAGGGGAGCAGTGAGAGGAAAGCAAAAAGAAAGATTTTGCATTGTTTGGCACAGGAGAAGTTGGAGGGTATTAGTTCAGGGCGCTATGTGGGTTCAGACTTCCCCTCAATTTTGCAACCCTTCTAGAAAAAGTTTTTCCCTTTTCAACCGTTACAAAAGGGAAGTACAAAAATGAAATTATTGCAATTTCTCAAATGAGGTCAAATGGGATATGGCAAATTGTCGGATCTCCCATCACTTCTACTCTCTCCCTTCAAGGCAACACCCTTTTGTCATAGTGCAACTTTAAAACATAGTATTACCATTTGAGCATCTTCTCCCTCCCTTTTATGTACTTCTCGAAGAGTCGCACCAATGTGATTGCTGCAGCATCTATCTTCTTCAGAACAAAGGTTATGTTCAGCCTGAAGAAATTGAGACTCCGAATATCAGTTGTCCATGGCATGATGGCGTATAAAAAATGACAATACTCAAGATACTCTTTGGTTTTCGAAAAAGCAGACATGCCAACATAATTATTTATTGTTAACAACTCTATATAACAAGAACAAATGGGGTCAGATTTAAACAAATAGATTATTATATGGGCATATATCCCTATTATGATACCTAGTATACAACAAGAAAGGTTGTTATACCACCAATGTTATATGAAAGTGAATGGCGGGCCTAGAAGGCCCAACATATGCACAAGATAGTGTCCTAGAAATGCACTGTTAAGACGAATTTACAGTGATACAAAATTTGGACAAGATTAGATGATTACATTAGATAGAGAGTACAAGTAGCACAGACAAAAGATAAAATGAGAGAAGGTTGACTGAGATGGTATTGCCATTTTCTAGGTAGACCTCCAAATGCACCAGTTCGTAGGTGCGACATTATGATGACTGAAGTTCTAAAGAGGGACGAATTAGATCTAAAAACACATGTAGGGAAGTTAACTTAAAAGACCTATAGCCTCTCAAAATCAATGCACATTTAGTTGAGAACAGAGCACAAGGGAAGCAAAGGATCCAGATAGGCAATACCAACTAACAGGGATGATGCACTTCAAGAAGGACCGCGGAGTAGCACAGAGATGGCAATGACATCCCAGGAAAAAGGAAAACTCCCACGCTGCAGTATAAATAATCGCAGCCATGGAAATAGAAGATTACCTGCAAAAGTGATGACTTATACGCTTGAAGAGCCGCCTCGAAGGTACAGATACAAGAATGCCATGCCACCGTAGATAAGATAGAAGCACTTTCAAACTCCTCTAGTTCAATCTACGGTGATAAATTTCTCAAATTAACAATGTTTTAATTTGATGAGAAACTAAAAATGAAGCACAAGAGTAAGTCCATCACAGAATTCAAGAGGTGTAGTTCAAAGCATACCAAACATTAGAGAGAAGAGAAAAAATATTCAGAGGCTAAACCATGGCCATGCAAAAAGACTCATTTTTACCTGGGGTATGAAGAACAAAATTTCCTAACAGCACAAACTGCATACAAAGTGATATGAGGGAAAAATGTATGGAAATAAAAGTGTACCTTTCAAGATGGCCTTCAGGAGAGCACTTCATGACAGGTACCAACTGATTTTAGAAAAAAATGGATACAGCTTGCAACCAAAGTGCTGCTGCTCACTTGCCTCGACTAACTTGGCCGCTAGATCTCAGAGATTTTTGCAAATGGTTCAATCTTTTTCTCAACATTGGATCGGCATAAGGGACAAACTACTTGTTGTAACAACCACTTCAACAGGCATATTTCATGAAATATATGACTGCAATTTTCAATTCGACATACTACGGAACCACTGTAAAACTCTTCAATACATATGGGACACAAGTCAATGTTCATTATCTTATCGAATCTTAGTTTTTTTATCCCCATTTTCTCCTCCAATCCCTTAATACCAACAATACGCAAATCAACATGCTGTTGACTTTTTACCCAAACTTCGAAATTATAAGTTTGTCCCAGGTTTTGGTACAGGTCAGTGAACGTGGTTTGCTCGAAATACGTAACCTTACTAATACACAAGTATAATAGCGACTGTGTTGTAGTTGGACGGTCCTTAATCAATGTCATTATTTTTTTGATCAATTTCTCCTCATTCTCAACAATGTCAACACGGCAGCCTACTTTCCACTGCATCCCCTCATCCAGACAAAATGTGTCCATTAGGAAGAAAATCTTCGAAATAACATCCTTACCACTATCATATGACAAATCACCACAATTTATCCAAAAAGTTTTCTCGCATTTATGTTGCAAGATACAACATACCTTTTCAGAAGAAGAAGAACAAACTATCTCTTCATCAGAAGAAGAAGAAGATAACGAGGAGCATATCTTTTCACATATTGCAACCTTAAGCGGAAACCCATCTTGGAAGGTACAGAAATTAGGGCCAATGGATTTCCACCGGCACTCAACTCTCGTCATTGTGAGGTTCTTTTGTTCTTGCATTGCAATGTAGTCTTTCAATTGAAAAGCTTTGAATTGGGAATCAACTCATACTATGTGAAAAAAGCTTTCACTTTCACTGAATTGAATGTTCGATGAATCTTGAAGTGCGAATGTAGTGAATTGCGTTGACTACTCAGAACGCAAATGTGAAATTTCACTGAATTGAATGTTCTTGAAGTATTACGGGGAAGAAGATTTGAATTAGGAATCAAATCGGAATATGTGAAAAAAGCTTTCACTTTCACTGAATTGAATGTTCGATGAATCTTGAAGTGCGAATGTAGTGAATTCCGTTGACTACTCAGAATATTGCAAATGTGAAATTTCACTGAATTGAATGTTCTTGAAGTATTACGGGGAAGAAGATTTGAATTGGGAATCAAATCGGAATAAGTGAAAAAAGCTTTCACTTTCACTGAATTGAATGTTCGATGAATCTTGAAGTGCGAATGTAGTGAATTCCGTTGACTACTCAGAATGCAAATGTGAAATTTCACTGAATTGAATGTTCTTGAAGTATTACGGGGAAGAAGATGCGGAGCGTGTTGTGAGACTTTACGGAATGCTGTTTTGAATAAAAAGGAATTGGACTATTTTTTATTTCTTTTTCATTTTTTCTTTTAGTAGAGAAAAATAGGAAACAAATGAGACTATAATATTTCTTAGAAAATGGATTAAATTTCATAGGCATGTACAATTGATAGTGTGTACCCCATCGTGATCAGTAGATTATTTTTTTAAAATCACATAAAATTAATTGTAATTATAATTTTATCTAATACGAAAAGTGCTTCACAATGGTAAAAATGTACGGATTTTTTCATGAAAATAATTTTATATATANGGTATAGTATTAAAGGACATATGTTAAAATTCTAAAGTCATACCAATAACTACTCATGGAAAAGAATACTTTGAAGAATCATTCCTAAACCTAAAAGGAAATAAAAGTGTTTGAAATTTTATATAAATTATTTAGAAAGAACTAATCGGTTAAAATTGCAATTATTCTTCTTTTAAAAATCTATTATTTTCATATTTCAAATAAGGAAGGCATTAATACACAAAATGTAGTTAGATTTCGAAATCCTAAATATTAGAAAAATATTAAATGATTATTTCTAAATATTAGAAAAAATTAAATGACTATTTCTCAACATTAAAAAATTATTAAAATACTATTTTGTCCAAATTGAACATGACCTACTTTTAAAGAGTGAAAAAGACTAATAACATTTCGCTAAGCACTTTCGTTCTTTTAATATAATATAGACTAGTTTTAGGGTATGTGCTTTGGATGTGCAACTTGTTCAACGAAAAAAAGTTAATTTAAAATATGTGTTTGAATTATAAAATAAGATTGTAAGTTTCTAAAGATGATGAATGTTGATGGTGTATAATTAACTTTATAAAGATAAAAACTACCCCCACAAAAATCCTCAATCATCGGTCAAGAATTCAACTTAAAATGTATTCTAGAGAATGATGAAATTAGAATGAGAAGTAATATTTAATTTTGAAGTGTCATTATTCCAGTGAGATTAGTATTTAAATAATTTTAGTATTAGGTAACTCCATAATTATAAATATTTTTAAAATAATTAGTTTTATCTTATATGAAATCTATTTCTAAAAGTAAAATGATCGATCAATATTTTGCATTGGAGCATATGTATTCCATCTTGATTTGAACGACACATCTTTTGGGAATCTTACGAAAACTTTAGCATTTTCTATGATATAATATTGAATCCAAAATATCTATATTCACTGGCAAAAGCAAAGATAGATTCATGCAATAATCATAGATTCGAGTTAGAATTACTTACCCCAATGTTATAGATGAAAGTTTCCTTAAACAAACCTCCACTCGAGCTCCGTAGGTCCCAAAATGGTGAAATAACTAGGTTCAAAATGAGGCTATTTATATAAGTGCTGAAAAATTACTGCTAGGGCAATTTGATTGCTGGTGCAGAAAATAGTTGTTGGTGCAATTTTATTTTTGGTGCAAAAATTGGTTGCAAGTAAAATTATTTTTATTGTTGATTTTTGTGCTTAAACCTTCCTCCCGAACATGCCGAAACTCACCCTCCCGGACCCCTCTAATTCATTCTGACTAGTTCATGCCTTGTATGGACATATTCAAAGCCTTTGAAACAAGAAATGAAACACTACAACACAAAAACAACAACTCAAAGTCAAATCCTAAAAGTTCCAACTTTCATGCAACATTGCCGAAATACTCTCAAGCCCCACGAATTATAATCCGAACATACGTGCAAATACATCACATAAACTTGTTAGAAGCTTCAAAACATGAATGCGCATATACTAAAATCCAAGGGTAAGGTTAGTTGAATTTGACAAGATTAATGTGAACCAGTGTGAACATTTGAAGCCTCCTTTTAGGAAGAAATTGGTAGATGCATTTTTCATGCATGTTCACACTTAACATGATGTCATGCATGATATTATTAAGGTCATTTCCCTTCTATAAATAGTAAGGGTTTTGTTCATTTGAAAACATCTCTCACTTGCCTTCTTATCTCCTAAGGCATTTGAATCTTCTTTCTCTCTTGTAGTATTTCACTTGTATTTTTGAAGTGAAATAAATTTGAGTTGATTGTGTCCGAGGACTAGGCAAAAATCAAATTTTGCCGAACCTCGTTAATTTCTGGTGTTCATTTTATTATTGTCTCATTTACTATTTATTAGCTACCTTTAAATATACTAATTGTGATTTAATGACTCTCTATATATTCGGCTTCCGCAATAAGGTTGTTATTTTTAGCCTTTAACCCTTCCAAATGGGCAAATAACATTCCAAATCCTTCCCGAGCTCTTAGGAACTAAAACCACACATATCTGCAAGTTATAAAAAAAATCTACCGGAAGCCTCTAATCAAAGAGCGAGCTACTAGAACTCAAAACAACAGCTCAAGTTGACTTAAAGAACCTTAAAGCTCTATTCTTTGTGCGATAAGGCGAATCACCACCAACCCTCTCGAGACTAAAATCCATGCACAGAAGTCCGAAAATATCATATAAACCTATCCAAGGTCTCAAAACAAGATCCAGCTAGCAAATACTCAAATCGAAGTTTAAAGTCAATTTTTGTAATCTTTAACTCACTAGTTGCATGCAATAGCACCAAACTCATACCGAGCCTTCCTGAACTCAAACTAAACATGCTTACAAGTTCAAATACATAATATAAAGTAGTAGGAAGCCTTAGATCAAACGACGAAACATAAATGCTCAAAAGGAGAGGTTAAGTCGTTACAATTCCAAACTTTAAAAGAATAATTTTTTAATTCGTATTATTTTCTATGAAAAATCGTAATATATATAAGGAATCAAAAGATGAAAAGAGGGTTTTTGGCTTAAATGAAAAGAAAACATTTTTGTTGATTTGAGCTAGTAAATGACATCAAGTTTGAATTTTGATTATAGATTTGAGTTCACAACTTATGGGTAAACTATTTATGAACTTCATTTTGCTTTTTGACTGGGTTGACTGAAACCAATATTTGCATTGAACAAGAATTGACTTTGAATTTAAGCTTCCTAAAATCATGGGAATAACTCTTCTAGACCAATTTAGACAAGTTATTCATGATTTTGAATAAATTGAGACATTGGAGATCGTTTAAGCAAGGTTTGAGGTTTCAAGAGAAGGTTTAAAGTAAATTTTGCTATTTTTGAGGTAAGTGAGATTTCAACTCTTAGTTTGCTTACTTCCTTAAAAGCATGCTATATGTGCTTCTTGTATGCATTGTGGGGGCAAGCGTGAGCCGAATTAGCTAGTTTTATTTTAAAGTATATCGCGAGGGTCCTAGCATGTGCTTTTATACTATTTGAAACTTCTACTAGTTTCTTGACATGTAGTGAAATTTGTTTAGCTGTTTAGCATACTTTACCGCTCAACTAGCTTTCAAATATGTTTTTACTCCTTTGTGATATATGATATATGTTTAGCTGGTTTGCATGCATTATCATTTTTAGCAGCATGTTGAGCTTGAGCAATATCTCATGAACAAGCAGCGGGTTGAGCTTGAGCAATAACTTATGGCCCACAGATAACAGATTGAAATTGATTAGATTTACTCGTGGCGCCTATATATTGGGCTTTAGCTTGAGTGAGCGTACTCATGGCACCGTATAATGGGCTCGAGTTTGAGTGAACAT